CCAGGCTGGAGCAGGGGCAGAGTGTGAGGAGTCCTCCCCCTGAGGAGGACGGAGCGGCAGAGACAAGGTGTGGTGAACTGACCACAACCTCCATTCCCCGTCCCCCTGTGCCGCTGGGGGGGAGGAGGGAGAGAAACTGGGAGTGAAGTTGAGGCTGGGAAGAAGGGAGGGGTGGGGGGAAGGGGTTTTTAAGATGCAGTTTTTATTATTTTCTCATTATCCTGCTCTGATTGGTAATAAATTAAATTAATTTTCCCCAAGTTGAGTCTGTTTTGCCTGCGACTGTAATTGCTGAGTGATCTTCCCTGTCCTTCTCTCGACCCAGGAGCCTTTTGTTATATTTTCTGTCCCCTGTGCAGCTGAGGAGGGCAGTGATAGAGTGGCTTTGGCAGGCACCTGGTGTCCAGCCAAGGTCAACCCACCACAGGTACCTTCTCATTCTTGATCCACAATGCTGCCTTGCAGTGCAAAAGCTGAGATCTTAACATTTGGAGTTGCTTCTGGGAATCTGCTTTTCAGTCTTCCTGCCTGAAAGTTCTTGTACTCCCTGAAGGTTACAGCTCTGACTTCCACATATATTCCTTTGACATTTAATCTTGTTAACAGCAAGTTTAAAGTTTGAACTGACATTCAGAATAATATTTATTCCAGCATATCCTCTGTTGAAAGTCTGTCTGCCTCTCTATTCCAAGGTTCTCTATGAAGTCTCAGCTGGCTCTTTGTTATTCTTCCTCCCTTCATGTTCCATTTTATTTTTCTGTAAGCTTATTAACTTCTGTTTTTCCATTACTGTAAGCTTATTAACTTCTGTTTTTCCATTACTTCAGTCTTCGTGTGTTCATCTTCTCTTCAACGGTGAAACCTTGCTGCCCGCTTGAATGTTAGAAACCACTGTCCTCGGGGCGGGAAGTATCCTTACTCTTAGTCGTCACTGATGTTAGTTAAGTTACAGTAGTGCATATAGACTTCAGTGAACTTTGCTCTCCTTCAAATGCACATGCTTGCCAGCAGTGTCTTTGATCCTTTTGGATTTTAGAAAAGCAACTGCCTGAGACTGAGTTGTAATTCTTTGTATCTGCTGTTCTATCAGCTAAGCAGGTACTTATAATGAAAGGTGTCTTCATGCTGCTTTTTAAAGATGTCAGTGTTTGTTTTAGGGTATGGAATGCAGTGATTTAAATCACTTGCTTGTGTGAAAGGGCTTTCATTACTTCTGCAAGTGACAGTCACCCTGAGAAGAATTTGGAAAGAGGAATGCTATTTCTTTGTACAGTGCCTTTTATTTTGATCTTTTTTTTTTTTTTCAGCAGCAGCTCCTTTTAGGATAGAGTCTAGTAGTTCCAGTTGACTTGAGTCATATTGTACTCAAGGCTTTGCAAACAGAACAAAAAGATAACAATCTAGTCTGTATTCTGTATTCAGAAAACCAAGGCTAAGCGTAAAACCTGAGATGATGGCAGTGCATAAAAAATTAGTTGACAAAATAAAA